TTTTTTTTTTTTTTTTTTTTTTTTTTTTTTTTTTTTTTTTTTTTTTTTTTTTTTTTTTTTTTTTTTTTTTTTTTTTTTTTTTAGGTTTTGATGATGATCAAAAGACAAGAGTTCTTTTTGAAAGGATTCCAAGAAGATGAAGCAGAAGATGAATGAATGAATGAATGAGACCAGAATTTCACACAGGTATCTTCCTGTGAGTTTGTCCAGGAATGAATTCCCGCAACTTTTAACAAGGGTCTGTCAAAGGTCTATATGCCCTCTCTGTATGTAAAGCCTGAAGATCTGAAAAAAAAAAAAAAAAGATCTGTCAAATACTAAGTGATGATGTGATAATACAGCAGATGACCTCTTTGAAAGTTATGTATTCCTGAGAACACATTTCCCCCGAATAAAAACCATACTGTAATTGTTGCCATTGATTGTCTAGGAATAGTTATTGGCATGTTGTTAATTTATTTATGATTAATTTATTTCAGCAGTTAGTTGTGTTTATATATATATATATGTTTGATTTAATTTTAATTTGTTTTTTTTTCTGCAAAATACTTTGAATTGTGATCATGCCAATAAACACACTGAAAATCTTGTATAAAATAAAAATAAAATCACAGAATTCTCAAAAAAAAAAAAAAAAAGAAAAAAAAAAATAACCTCTCTCTAGGACCCCTTGGTGATAGTAAAGTCTCACCAAGGATTAGAGTCAACAATAAGCTTCTATAGAAAGGAGCAAACTTGAGGATTCATAAGAACTCCCAATAAATCCTATGGTCAGGACAGACTCTGCAGGAAGCTGTTTGCCCAGCTTCAGAGACAGGTCATCCTCTGGGAGTAAGTCCCAAGACTTACATATAAACCCTCTCATTAGAAGTCAATTAAATGTAGTCTACACTTGGTGAACAACAGTGTAGACTCCAAAAGGGCTTGTTCAGCCCTTGATATAGACTCTTCTAGCCAGGAGGAAGCCTGAAAGAAGCTCCCCCCTGACATCTGTGAAGGTCACTCCTGATGGGGGAGGGTAGCATCTCCTTGGTGGTTTCATTTTTCTATGCACACCACATTTGAAGGCCCATGCTCTTGGAAGGTGTTGTGTGGTGGTCTGAGGCCAGCCTTGAGGCCAGGCACTTTTGACCAGAATGAGACATGAAATTCAAAAAAAAATCAAACAAGTTAGTCTCCCCTGTTGGGAGTGACCTTCATGGACATGGTGTTTGTGAGACTTAAGTTCACTCAAGTGGTATCAGAATTTCATGAAATCACTCTCTTTTTATCAAGGACTTGTATGTTGGTGTTCAATTGACACAATACAACTATGCACATACCCAGATAGTCCTATACACAGGGTGAAAATCTTCACCTATCTACCTAGCTTTCCACACTCCCACTCATGTTCTCTTTCCTCATCTGCAGAAAAGAGAACACATATGTATAAAACCCAAGTTCTTTGTTTTTCTACCCTTTCTCTCAAATACCTTTCTTATCAAAACCTAACCTAATCTATGAAAAAAATGTATATCTGACCACCCCACAATTTAATCCATTCAACCTCAAGCCACAAGCACAGACAGCTCACCCTCTCCTGAATCTGTTTCTTTGTGCTGTTCACTTAGGTCAGCATCCACACCCTTATGGGACAGGAGTGGTAGAGACATGCTGGCAAAATTGGGGTCATGAAGTCCAAACAAGTTGCACAATCCTGAATGTATGTCAGGACCTGATGCACCTGTCAGAAATACATAACATCTCATCCTGTGAATGCTCTGTATCAATCATACCACCAACACACATACAGATGCATACTGAAGTGCATGTCATGACATAGCCCTACATGAAATCTGGTGCAAAATTTTACCCCAAGTATGTAAAACACCTTGTGCTTCACCTTTGTAATACTACCCTACCCTCAATGACATATCACCCTTTATGTGTCCCATGGCAAGCTCAAGCATCTGTATGTATTCTCATCAATGAGGACTATGCATTTCAAAGGATCAATTGAACCAGGGCACAGATGCTTTTAACTCCTGAGTAAACAAGTGATACATTGAAAACTATGTCCAATTCCCTAAATACCAACCATTTGTAACTCTGTTTTGGACTATATCCCCCAGTCCTACAATTTGTATGTAAAACTTTATTCTGAACCTTGTTGGATGTCCCTCTTCACCTTGTTCAAAACATTTTTCAATTGAACCTTCTCATACATACAACACTACATATCTGAGGCAATCATTTTGATGGGAAGAAACAAAGGGTGCTTACCAGTTTTTTCATCCTGCCTAATTACAGGAGACTCACTTCTTCCATGACCAAATAAACTTATTGGTTGATGGAGTTGCCACAAAATTCTGTTTCTTTTGAAAATGGCTGGTGATAGTATGTTGGGTGACAAGAGGCCCTTCCCCATTGAATTTGACTGTTCATGTATTACAGGGATAGGTACAAAGAGACATTTGTTGCTGAGGCTGTCTTTTGGGAATGTAGTGGAGATAGTCCATGGTTGAACTTGCCTTAAATTTCAAATAGTCATTGTTGGTCAGATCATGTGTTTAATTAGATGTATCCATTATGGCATAAGGATGTAGGATTTACTGGACAAAATAATGGTATGATTATGTACCTGCACTATGACTTGAGTGGGCAGATTTTAAGGAAAGTGTCCCATCTGCATACACCAATGACAAAAAGTGTTAGATGAGTTTTTTCAGGTTATGACTGGCTTTAAGCCAGATTGAAGGCTGTTTTTTTTAGCCCCTGAGTACCTCAGAAGTACCATGAAGCAGCAAATGTTAATATAACTATATTCTTATCACACCTCATAGCTCAGTTTTGAGAGCTGTAATTAAGAATCCACTGTAAAACTGAATTAAAAGTGTATATTACAGCATGATTACATATAGAGTAACCTGCTGTAAACCATAAACTCAAACTGTAATAACATACAAGATGTTATGTACTAATAATAACTAGACATAGTAAGCTTTTCCCTTGTAATGAGTGTATGCTAATAAAGGATAGTGGATAGGAATATAAAAGATGGACCTGACCTCCTCTACAGGAGGAGGAGAATCTGCATCATAAAAA